CTCCGATGCTTAACAGTCCATCAGTTTGACGTGTTCTTAATGATACAAAACTGCTGCTGTTTTTCCACTCCCTGATTTGATATAATGTAGCCCGTGCTTTGTAGTTTTGAAGTACACTGCCAGGCTGACCAAATCATTTGAATATTCATTTTCATTCCCATATAGACTGTTGGACAGAATCTTACTAAAACATTGAAGCATTTTGATTTTGTTAATCATGTGGATTAAATGATCCCATTGATTTAAGTAATACAAATTAAATCTGATCCAAAAGAAATGCAATAAAGTGTGCTGCCTCAATTCACAGCAATGTTAAAAATCTTTATACCAAGGGATTGCCTTTTTCTCAGTCCAGCCAGTAGGGTAGACCAAAAATCAAAAATATCTGTGAAGAATCAAAGCGTTCATTAATATTTAAATCAAACCCCTTGATTTCTGTTGATACATTGTCATTGATAAGTGCCACTTAATAAAGCGTCACTAATTTTTTCAACGTGTTTTCCTGATGGGTGCCATTTTCTGCAAAATTTAACATACTGTCATAAAACTGAAAACGATGTTCATAAGTCTAAAAGATTCTTTTGCTTTCCATCACAGCTCAGCTATCATGTGGTATTTCAATATATGACAGTTATTTTCTGAAAGTATTCTTTAGGAGAAGATAATATAGCAAGATCATAGAACGTTTTTACTATATTTTGCTATGGAGCATAGCTTTCAGAATAATGAAGGCTTTCAGTGCAGGCATTAAAGGTGCATGATACTTTGTGCGTGGAAGCTATTTTGAGCCTTAATACAATTCACTTCCCAATGTCAAAAGACAATACTTGGCATTCTGCATTGTTATCAGGAAAGCTCGATACAGTTTATTGCCTGTTGATTGTATTGATTACAGCTGGAGGCATTGATAGCATAAACAGTGTCTTTAATTAGTCAGAATGCATGATTAGCTTTTCTGTTTTAAGGAGATAAATGAGCTTCTGAAAGAAGTTCCCCCCCAAAATACTATTTATTCAGTCAGAATAAAAACAGAATCAATGGGAATACAGGCCACAGTCTGCATTTCTCAGACTTTTACCAATTGTCTTCATGCTGGGCTCCACTTCTAGGCAAGGTCTTCAGATTTTTCAGATTATTTTTTTTTAATTAACTCATACACTCTGCCTGACACACACACACACACACACAGACACAGACACACACACACACACACACACACACACACACACACACACACACACACACACACACAGACACACACACACACACACACACACAGACACAGACACACACAGACACACACACACACACTTTAGTTGCTTCCTAAAAGCAGCTGCAGATGTCATTGTGGCAAAGTCTGTCTTGACTGCTAGACTGCAGCATCCCTCAGAATTGCCACTGTAAGCCCACTTTTCAGAAGTTTATCAATCGACTCCCAGGGTTTACTCTCTACTGCAACTGGCCAAGAAGATTTCAGCACACATGATTTTTTTTTTCCCCCAAGGTTTTAGGAAAAGTTCATTTAGACATTGCTAACTAACTTGTGGAAGTAATAAAGTAGGGTTTAATATACATTGTGTCAAATTATTCAACCTTAAAAGTAATATTAAGTCAACAAATAATTCTTTAATATTGCAGTGATTTGATTACTTGGTGGGAGGGCTTTGAATAGCAAAACTGTTTGGTTTTCTTCAACACTGAAAAAATAAGACATGAACTGACTCTGTTGCTCTATCCTGAACAACTCCTTTGCCTCCCTTTAGAACCATCAAAATCCCTACATCTTACACTTGCACTTCCTAGAGAAATTAATAATTCATCTACTGAACCAGATGCATTAAAATAGATATAAAGGTGAAACTGAACAGCTCCTTTAGCTAAGAACTGACTCCAGTAAATGAAGGACAAAATCAAAGACAAAATAATCCAGCTACTCACAAGTCATCCCGTCTCCGATTTCTCAGACTTGGTCTTTCAGGAAGACCTTCCAGACATGAGAGTTCAAACTAAAATTCATTAATTTCCTGAGTAATAAAAACTTATTAATTTAACAGAAATACTGGATTAATGGCACATGATTACCTCACTCCCTCGATGTTCTCTAAATGAATTGTCTCTTCCTTTTCCATTGGAAGTAATTCCCTTATTATCCCTCTTTCCTTCTTACCAACATCCCCTGCTTTCCAGGTACCAACTATTTTCTTTAGAAATTCTCTGATACTTATTTCATATGAAAAACGTGTCTCTTTAAACTCTTGTGTTTTGTGCCAGACCTGTACAACTGCATATATACTCTGGAGCTTCTTTACTTCTCTGACTACACTTTTTGGTCTGAGATCATTCTCTTTAGAAGCAAGCACTGTCTTTTCTCTGTCCTTGCACCACCTTTGCTGCCGCAGTCTTCTTAGCAGAAATATTGTAGCTCATCTCTGCCTCTCAGATTATCTTCAGGGTAGAAAGGGCAGCTTGGGAAGTAGAGATGGAGATTAGCACTAACAGTTCTGCCTTACCTTCTCCAAAATTGCCACAGTTTCTCCAAGAGATTGCCTTTGTTGACTTTGTGTTTCAGTGCAATTGCAGGGAATCAGGTAAGTGATGATGCTGCGCTCTCTGACCACATCCTATGGGCACAGTCAGATTCTGAGGCAGCACAAACCACAGATGCAAAGTGGCAGAAATAGAAAATATATTCTACCCTGCCACTGTTTTTCATAGCATGCATTGAACTGGGATTCCTAAAAACTTGTGAAGCTTTGGTGTCAACAGAGAGACTTTGGCTGCATTCAGGGAATGCAAATGTGGTGAGCAATGACAGAGTGCACTAATAATGAGGTGTCCGTGCAAGCATGTTGCTGTGTGGATTGGTTGTACCAGTGCTCACTGGCATTAGCTGAACAGCAGAAAAGGAGAAGGATTGGTTGTGACGATTGCTGTATATGTGAAAATAATGTGATGGCATAAAAAAATTTTGAAGTGTGTTTTTTACATATTGAGATGATGGAAAATTCAATCTCTTTAAATCTGCTCTACTACTTGCTGGATTTCTACACCAGCAGTTCTGTTTCCTGAGGCAGAAAATTAGTTTTTTCCATTTTGACTGCAAACAGATAGGTGGTTGTCCCCTGATTCACCCCAGATTATGCGAACATGCCAACAGGAGATGATGTGGAATCAATAACAAGTCCAGAAGTAGCAGAAAAACTAACCAAAAAAAAAAAGCAGCAATTGGCATATTTTAGCAATTATAACACAGGAGTGAGCCTTGCCAGATTTCTCTGTAAGAAGCAAATCTTACATGAGATCATCAAGGCTTTTCAGAAAGCAGAAGCACATTACCTGTTTACTTGGTGTTGGACAACTGAGTTAAGACAATTGCAGTCTGGCAACATAAAGAAATCTGTTGAGCTTTGGAAAATGCGTTCTCTTCTAGGGGAAGCCGTGGATGTTGAAGTTACCTCTACAGCTCTGGCCTCGTGCACGTGTTTGCGTGCATAATGGTTTTTGTGCTGGTTGTTGGAACAGCCGTGGCCAGACAGAAATTGAACCAACCCCAAACCAAGTTTAATTTACTCTGTAGAGCTGTGGACCTGCTTGTATCAAACCGAGATGAAATACTGAGTTCCCCTGAATTCTGTGTTAGGTGTTAACTTGCTATTATTTAGTCTAGTTAATGGTTACATGGAAGCTTTAATGTATTACAGCTCTTTACTGTGGAAGAGGTGAAATGGGAACTTAAGGAAGCATCAGCTCTGCACATCAGCTGTGTACAGAGATCCGTTTCATATGTGGAAATAATTACAAGACCTGGTTACCTGCACAGGGAGTGCCTGAATTTTGTGACTGAGAGTGTTCTTCCAGGGCTGTTTTTCTCTGACTGACAGTATAATATGAGTGACCTCTCATTCTCGTGTTTCCTACCCACTTTTTCAGTGAAGTCTGCAGTTCAGTGTGCAATGAGAAGCGATAACAATAACAACTAAAATGACCGTTGCGTTTTCTTTCTTTGAGCTGTATCATTGTATCATAAAGTAGTGCGTGTGAAATGAACATTGACCTTTGCACGGGTGTACGATGACTTGAAAATCTTTTCCAAAAGCTATCACAAAGCAGTGTTCAGGAGAGGCATAAATTGCCCGTTACATTGAGTAGCTGAGGAAGGTCCATACTCCCTCCTCTATGACAAACATCCTATCAAAACTTTCATTTTTAATAGAAGCAGAATAGGTGTGTGACAGCTGTGCTGAGAAGAGTCCTCTGTATAGACTTGCCAGTAGCTAAAATCAGGTTATATTCAATAACAATGTTTTTATTTATAACATATAGCATAGCAATAAAAAAATTGTACAAGCAGTTGTTTATAATGTTTATATGCATTTACCTAACAAAGCTGGTTTTCAATATCAACAATTCTACCAATTATAAGATCCTGGCTCAATCCAGTGTTTCCTTCCTAAAAACACTAGAAAACTGTTAGTGTCTTACTCTTAGCTCTGATCACTGATTCCATCCCTTTATTGAAAAATTTTAACTGGAAGGATTGAATTATTTAATAGAAATCAGCTGTCCCACAGTTAGGACCACTGCCAAGTCAAGGTAACAAAACACACCTCTTTAAGACTTTTTCCTTAGACAAGGTAAGGATTTTTAGTCACATTGACTCCCACAGTCTCTTGTCAAACACGCGTTGTTCATCCCAAGTCTTTATTCCTCAGAAAGAGACCCTTGTGGGTCCCATAGGCTGTCAAAATAAAGTATAGGTCAGATTTTAGTGTGAGTGGAACAGGTGGAAAGGCTAAGGAAGGAAGGAAGCCTGCCTTAACATTTAAGAATTGTATTAACTGTAAAGTTTATTTTTATAATAATAAAATCCAGTTTGATTTTGTTCCATCATGCTCAACTACCTACAATTTCCTTTGATTATTTTTTTTAATAATCAAAAGAATTAGAACAGGAATACGAACGGTGCTTTTCTGAATGATATTTTGATTTCTGTTTTTCAGGGACTGGTTGCAGGTGTTCAGTCCCCCCATCATTCCTGGAAGCCAACAACTGGAAGAGCACAGTAAATCTCCAACAAATCAGACTGTTCCAGGTAGGAATTTATGAAGACAGTGAACAGGACCTGAGTAGAAGGGCATTTCTAAAAGCTGTTTCTGTAGTGCTGGCGCTGCCTTTTCGTAGTTCTCTATACGGCTACAGTTTGATTCCAAGCTCTGTTACTTGCTCAAGCTAGCAGAGTTTTCCATGCAGTATTATTTACCTCTGACAGAAGGTTCACTTACCCAGTTACAGTTTCCTAATGTTCTGGCTCGATATGGATTAAACTCATTAAAAAAGCATATTTGGTTAAAATAAGGAATGATGCTGGTGAGGGTGGCAAACTGAAAGAAGGAACACAAAGACTAAACATCCTTATTCAGAAGCACAGTTACACTCACGAAAGTGACGCTTCTCTTACGAAGAAAAATTTCAGATTAAGTCGTAAATGAAATCTCAGCTTGATTTCCCGAGTAAAGACTGTTGTCACCACCCAAAGTGTTACAGGTGTCTGTTTATCAATGGTGCTTGTTTGGAAAGCGAAGAACTTAGCTGAAACTGGAAAGTCAGCAACAATATAATAAAAGAAATACCTTGTTTTCTTTAAATGCCCTTTTTTTCATATCAATTGTCTTAGGAAATAAGGTAGATATCTACATTTCTCTTGAAGTCTGGGGAATTCAATGTGAAATCTCATAAACCTGACCTCTGTATTTTGGCTGCCCGAGGGATGAAGATGTCTCAGTGATTTACTGTCTAAAATAGATTATGCCCCCCAAATTGGGAATGTTTTCATAGATGTATATTTGTAATTGCTTTTGATATAATTTTGCTGTCAGGAAGGGGCCTTGCGTTGAAGAATCAAATAATATGTTTTGTTAAGTGTCCTAAATAAGCCAAAGAGAATTGGACAGTAATCCTTGAGTTGAAGGCCTGTTGGATATAAAATTTGTGATGGGTCTATGGGATTTTTTTACATTATTCAATCCAAGGCTTGCTGCAGTAAAGCTAGAATTTCTGTAAATTTAAAAAATCGGATTATTACCTTTTAAAAGCTTTAAAACAGAAGTGTACTTGGGAATTTGCTGGATTTCTTCTGTTGTTCGAAAGAGAATTTCCAAGCTGTTTTGTGAATTGTTCCTAAATTTATTTTCCTTTATGCTGAACATCAGCATTTTACAGCATATGTCCATGATTGCACATTTGGAGAACAGGAAATCTTTGTATACCATAGCTTTTTATTTTGGCTTTTTGTTTTTATACCTTTCAAAATCAAACTCCGACTTATGTATATGTAGGATGTTTGTAATTTTGGTAACTTCACACAGAAACTTTTTTATCTCCAAATACTCCACATTTTTTATTATTACATTTTTATTTATTAAATTTTTATTTATTAATTTGGGAGGGGCATCAATATTTCAGATTTAATGACAGTTTCATTTATCTTGCCATAAAAAGTCATGCAAGAAAGTTTCCACAGACAAAGGCAGAGTCATAAATTCTCTGGAAATTACTTTATTATATCCTAATGTTTGTTTTAAGATGGTGCTTTAGGAACCACAGCAATGAGCAGTTTTCTTTCTTGGACTACAGCTGTTGACAATAATCCTGTGATAACCCTGCAGTACATAATTACAGCATAGATCTGAGCGCTGGAGTTCAATGTTCAAGGATCATATTGGAGAAAGTATCAGCAGTGTTCTTTTCCCCTTTTCCTCTTTTCATCCCTTCTGCTGACAGCTGATGTTTAATTTTACAGTGCTTCGAGAACAAAAGCTGTCGTTTTGCTTTCACCAGGATATTCAGATTAAACTGCCAAGAGGTTTTTTCATGCAATCCTGAGCAACCCCAAAAGCCTGGGTGCGGGCAGCATGAACCGCTATGAAAATTTTCTTTGGAAGTGACTTCTTTATCAGTTCTTTGGCCATGAGACTTCGTTCCTACGTGTGGTCAGGTTGCACACAATGTACTATTTGGAAGTAGAGCGATGCCTTCTAACGCGACTGTTTCGCATTAGTTGAGTCTTGTAGAAGAATGTCAGTTAATTTAATTGGTACTTCCTTATAGGAAGTAGAAGCACAGAATTGAGGCTTTCATATGTTTTCTTCTTTAATCTGTTCAAGACTGAGTATTCCCTGTGGCCATTGGCAATCTGTTGCAACATCTAGAAATGTCCTAAAATGCGTTTGGGGGTATTGTGAGATGCTTAAAAAAAGAGGCATAACTTTAAATCACGAAAATACATCCAGGGAATTATTGCTGTAAAGGTATAATCCAGCTAGGCCTGGATGCAGTCTAGTTCTGATTTGGTGTGAATTCAAGGCAAACACACCTGATGAGTCTGAAGAATTTTGTATTCCTAAATCAAACCAGAGAGTGTGTTGAGAGGCCATTTCTGAGGCAGAGAGCGAGGGAGATTTAACCTTAGAGAAGAAAAGTGAATCATCTTGAAGAGATGGAGGAAAGGCAGGGAAAAGCAAAATAATAAAAGGAAGATTTCAGTGAAAAGAACAACATGGTTTCAGGTGAAAATGGGAGGCTATGCAAGGGAATGAGGCATGAATACCATTTGCCTGTTTCCTATGATCTGAAGTGCAGAAAAATGTTCAGTTGTGTTCCTTCTTTCTGCACTGCATAATTTTTTCCCAGAAACTATCCAGACCAAATATCTCAGTTAACCCCATTCAGCTCACCAGGCCCACCCAATGAAGTGCCCACAGCAGGGAGGGCAGCAATTTTGCTTTGCCTTTTTACCTTGGTTCCAGTAAGAGACAGTTTCTTTCTGATGGCGTTTGTTAATGCTGCTGAGGAAACAAAAATGAAATCTCTCCCCAAACGATAAAGTGCACACTTCCTCTGTGTGCATTAAATGCACCAACCTACTTTCTGGTCTCTAGATAATGTAACCTATATATTGTTGTGTGATCCTGGCTGGAAATAGATTCTGAGCACTAGGAAACTGCTGCTGTTAGCATAACAGGCCATCACTTCTTATGAAGTGTTGGGGCATACAAAGCAATCAGTGTGTATTAGCAGCCTGAGAACGAGGTGAACATTTATGATGAAAATTCAGATACAGATTGTGTTCAACTGTGAAATATTTCCTATCAAAAAGATACAGATCATACAGCTTAGATTTAGCTTATATGAAGGATAGACAGGTTTAGTAAAGGAGCTATAATATATAAAGCATCTGTAACAAAAATCTGTGTGGTTTATAAGTGTATTTTAGACTTGAGATTCGTTTCTGTTACCTGAAAACATTCTTGCATTTCACTTTATTTTTTTACATAACTTTAGGCAACCTAGATTTAAAATTTTTATTGTCTGAAAGAATATTTCCTCTCTGGTGTTGAAAGCTCTTTTGTACAGATTTACCTACACTGGACATTAAGGAGACATATTGGACACCAGACATTCAAATTCTTTCATTCTTACAGGCCTTAAGTACACTCTGGCTGTCTTTGTTCATGGTAAAACATTATTGTTTAAGGAATAATATCACTTAGTAAGACTTTGATCCACTGTCAGTAAAGGTGCTTCTGGTGAACTGCTCCATTGGACTTTGCAAAGTGCAGTTGTTAAGCAAACTCTGGCTGACCTCACTTCACCTCAATTAAATACAAATCTTCAGAAATACAATAAAAATGTGAATTGCTGTTACCTTGAAGGTAACAATTCAGAGTCGAGTGTTTACACACTTTAAAGAAAAACTGTCGCATCTCACAGAAAGGTGTTTCCATGTAATTATCTAAGTGAAAAAGAATGATTTTCTCTTACTTTTCACTCTTATCCCAGGTGAAGATGACCTCAATGCTGAAGAAGATGACGAGGTTTTGACTCTTTTGTATGATCCATGTCTGAACTGTTACTTTGATCCAGATTCTGGGAAGTACTATGAACTGGCGTAGTTGGACCATGAGAGGATATTGGTTTGTGTTCAGAGTGGGTTTGTCTTTTAACTGTTTGTAAAGTGTGACTGAGCTGTACAATTTATCATGTAACTTAAAACTTGAATTAACTAATGGCGTTGCAAATTAATATATTTTGTAAATAGTGTCTTATTTTTACAGTTGTGTATTAAGTTGTAGTGCAGTGGAAAATCACATAAAAGTTGCTTGTGATTAAGACATTCATTTGTTAGTCTAATTTATTTCCAGTTTTCAAAGGTTCTATATTGAAATAAATGAGGTTGAATCGAGAGGGTTTGTAGTGTTCATCTGTAAATTACGGTTTTACTCAATTTTTTTTTCATTACTTGCTTACTGTATATATTTAATTGGTTCTGAGCTATCTTATTCTTTGTACACTGAGGTGTGCAGTGTGTTGTTGTTCAAGGGTCTCTATTTCATAAGCTCACTCTCTCCCTTTAGTCACCAGAGAAAGCAGTATTTTCTTCACCTTCAAGAAACTCTCTGCTGTTGCATATTACAGTAATGGGATGATGTTGAAGCTGCGGGGTGGTACAGTGTGTACAGTGCAATGGAATTAAAGGTGTGTGCACGGGCAGTTTGTAAACTAGACCACAACAGAGTAAATACAGGAGGCTTTGAGAGTACCAGCTACTGCCTGCTTTACTGATGTAGTTTAACATAGGACTGAAGAGCAGGAAGAGCGATTGCTTCAGCTCCCAAGTTGGAGCCTTGTTTCAAGTAAGGCAAGGTGTGTGTCAGTGCTTCAGATGGGAAGCTGTGCTCTGAGTCCAGGTCTTACATGTTTGTATTAGTTTTTCTGTTACGTGTTGCAATAAAAGAATGTAATTTATGTAACCCATCTGTATTGGGTTTCAGTGCCGTTTTCAGTGAGGGTCCTAAAGTTCCAATTTAAGAGATTTAAATTGCCGGCATCACTGCAATTTTTTTATTCCATGATACATAAAATATCCCTATTGACCATGGAAAAAGACTATAGACATAAACCAGGCCATACATAGCCTGTGAAAATGAAATCATTGTATGAACCAAATACAATCCTGTGCATGGAGGCATGTCAAGCTCTGTCTGCTCCACAAACCAGTTGCCCTGATCCTGGTGTTTCTACATTGCCATGGCTGCTTCTCAGCTCCAAGCAGTGCCCGGCATTTCCAGTCCCAGAGCAAGGGGACAGTTCTGCTCGCCGCTCATGCGCCCCCAGCCCACAGGACGCTTACTCAAACAGTAAATAAAACATTTAAAAAATCAGCTGCCTGGCATTGCAGAAAAGGTGAGGGGCTGCCCATGACACAAGAAGTCCAAGGAGCTGTGTTGTAATGGAGTGGAGCAGCTTTGGAGTCCACAATCTTGGTACATAATGGCTTTCTGGAGACAGCTCAAGATCCCATGGGAAAAGTGATCTATAGGCATTTCTGGTGAGTCTTGTTCTAAGTTTCTGCTTTATTATATCCAGTGCTGTTCCACTGTAATTATTTGCAAGCTGATTGTGCAGTGCATTTTTAAGAATAATGTATTTGAATGTCATAAAGTGAGCTTAGTAAGCTCACTGGCAAGTGATTTAAAATGATATGTCTGTAAATTATTTGTAATTATGGATCCCAGTTAATGAATATCCTAGAATCAATTGAAAATGCACTTGTTAATAGTGGCTTGGCATAAGATCAGCTTGTGTATTTGGCTTCTGCGGCAGGTACAAACATATCATCACAAATTGATTCAAGTAAGAGTAGCACTGAAATCTACAGGAAGACAGATACTGTGTTGAGATAATTTACTTACCATGCTTTAGCCTGTTCCTCCCAGAAAGATTTGTACCTGTTCCTGCTAATGCCATAATCAGTTTAAACGTTCAATGAAATCATAATTTTGACCTTCAAAAATCAGATCCTAGCTTGTACATGCTGGTGCATATCTAACCACTTACTTTCTAGCATCATTTAGTGATCAGAACTGTGGTCCCTGTATCCGTGGCAAGGGCTCTTTACAATTTATTGTTCATTTTCCTTTCCTAGCCCCACGTCTCACAGGAGTGGTTGGATGTCCTGAGGCACCACTGCGAATCCAGACTGGGTCACCGATGCTACCAAGATAGCCACTGTCTTTGGGAAAAAACCCACAGCTGACTGCAGGCTGGTGGGTGCTGTTCAGGAGCCAGAGGTCTGCGAAGGTGCAGCGACTTGTCTGCCAGGACCTGGGTAGAGAGGCTTGTCCTGGCTCCACAGCAGGCAATCACAAATGCGCTGCATAAAAAAGTGTACCAATGGACACCCAAAACTTGGACAAAAGGGAGTCCTTGGAGACTCCATGCTCTTATCCCCACCGCTCACAGGATAAGGAAGCAGGCAGGTAGAGACACTGGGTTCAGGGTGAGTGTTGTTCCAGACAGGCTCATAGGCAAGTCCAGATACACCCTGTTTTCCTGTCATTAGCACAGCAGTATTTTAGAGGTAAGTCCTGCTTTTCACAATCAGAAGTTTGGGATCCTTGCCCTCTGTGTTCTGGTTAGCAGCTTTATGTCTTCACCATGCGTGGGGATTGATTGCCACAGTGCTGTGAGCAACACCTGCGAGCTGAGCGGCGCGAAAGCCTTTAGCTGTAAGCACTGTGAGTTTTGCTCAGTGTTTTTCTTAATCATCATCCTGTGAACCTAGAACTAAAGCGCTGCTGGCACGCAGCATGCTTTTTCTTCAGCCAATTTGTCAAAGCCAGCATTTGTGGCAAGTGATGAAGAACACAGAGATTTGCTCCTAGCAGTCATGTGCAGTGTTTTAGCCCGTGAGAATCACGCAGTTTCACTAGAGCGTGCTTTCCAGCAGACCTGTGTCTGGGCATGGAGTTTCAGGTTAATGAAACTGTCTGCAGGGATTTATTTCTACAAACCCAGCATCGGTTACGATTTTTGAGAGGAAAGATTTTGAAGTGCAGTAAATTTTAGTAAGGCTTCTTTAATGTTTCCTAGATGTGCACTGAAAATAGAGGAGTTGGAGTTAGCTTGGTAGAGCTGCTGGAGTCAGCACATCACAAGTCAATCCATCGGTCTCTCAGGCCTTTCTGTGTTCCTTGCACATGTGAGGAGTGACAGACATCTCTGCTTTGTTCCCAGTTGCTAAAATCAAACCTTCTTTCAGCTAGTTCAGGAGGAAGCAGAAATCTTCAAAGCACCTTTTAGCTGCAGCCCAGAGCAGTGTTTCTGTGTCACTGGAGTGGTTCTCCCCATTTCTCTCATTCTTTTTGCCTTGGGTCCATCCACCGAGGTTTTCTCCAGAGCCCAACCAAATGACCAGGTCTCAGGTCTTCAGGTCTCCGTGGACTGCAGCAGCATTGAGCTGCAGGTCAAGACAACCTGGTCCCCGTGAGCACCAGCACGGACTCCTCCGAGCAGCTGCAGGACTCTGTGACCTCTGATCCTGCAGAGCTGTCACTTGGACCCAAGCGCTGTCCGTACATGTGAGCCTCATTGCACCAGAGACAGGACACTCGCTGTCCTAAGGGGCTTACAGCAGGACATCAATACTGACTTTTTCCCCTCTGCTGCCATGGTTCCTAGGTAAGAAAACATGAAAAGTCATGCTTTATTATTCACCTACTGCCATAAAACATTCTGTTTAGGGGCACGTCCTCTAGAATTTGGGTCAAATGGCAAGGTTGCACAAGCTGAAAAATCCTTGAAAATAATTTTGCATAATGCATTTCATATTTAAGTTATTTTTTCCATTTCTTTATTTTAGAAAATGGCTTATTTTTTTAAGCAATGCGCTATATGTAAAATAAAAAGACAATCCAGTCTGTCTTTTCTATGTGGTATTGCTGATAATCACCACTTTCCTCATGGTTACTATGGTAACTTGGCATCCTTATCTGCCACCTTTTTTGGCACCTTGAAAAAAACTATTTAAATTCAGTTCCCTGATAAACTGAAAGCTTGGCTTCACGATGCCCATGGGAGCGCGTAAGCGTAACAACAGTACTTGTCATTTTTTTCTTGCTTGGTGTTTAACTTGCTTGTTAGCAGTTGCACGGGCTGTTCTGGCTGTGATGTTTTGGGATCCTGCTGCAGGCGTTATAACCAGCGCAAACGGATGGATGAAACCCCAGAAACAGCCCTGAGCTCCCGGGGGTCACATGCAGCGGCCCACGATGCAGACATCTGAGCAGGGTTTTGCTCTTACTGTACCACTCTAAAAGCAGTTGTTTCCAGGCTTGACACTTTTCAGGAGGAAAAATAATCTGTGGACATTAAACTACACCGGGAGAATTATTAAGAAGGTTCCTGTGGTAAATCAGTGGTGATTCAACAAACTTGTGATGCTTTTAATCCCTTTCCAAGTGTGTGCCAACCAGTCTGCGTGGCAGATGAGAGTCAACTGGGGCAGGGGATGGTGGGGAGCTGAGGGACATTACTGGAGGTGAGTTCAAGACCAGTGCAAACACCAGGTGCCCCAGCTGAGCACAGCTACCCAGCAGTTCCACCTCTTTTTTGCTCTAAGGGCACCAAAATGGTCCTTGTGATAAAGGTTGGTTTTCTCCTGTTGTCAAAATGTGGTCCAGACACATCCCTCCGCTCATGCAGCGCCTGTGCCAGTGCCCTTAAACCTCTGCAGACGAGTGCCCTCATCACTGGAAGAGGAAAGGAGACATCGACACCTGAGCAGCTGGCATTAGCTCTGACCATTGGCCGCAATGGCCCAGCATCTCTGCATCTGGCTGAAGCCAGAGTGTTTGCTGATCCACCCCTGCAGGTGTGGGCTCTTCAGCAGATCCCAGGCTTCTTTCTTCAGTACCACGTTCTCTTGCCAGGAGCTCTGAAGAGCAGAGGGGTTTAAAAGTTAGCGGTTGCAAAACGACAGAGGAAAAACGCTATCAAGAGCCATTAAATAAAAAGCAGGTTTACTTTTGCAGTGTGGTGGAGTGCTCCTGGGGCCTGGCGCTGTGTGTTCATCTCGCAGATGCCCTCTCCAGTCGCTAGCAGAGAAAAGGCA